TTGAGCAAAGTTAAGATAGGAAAGCATATTTTGAGCTGTTCCTCTGACCATCCGTCTGGCCAGTTGACTGGCTGGCCGGCTATTCGATTGGTCAACTGTCTGACTGGCTGTTCTGGCTCCTGGCTGTCCCATTGGCTGTTGGGGCGTCTGGTTGTCTGGCTGGCTGGCTGGCTGGTTGGCTGGCTGACCGGACTGTCGGTGTTTTTGCCGGGCGGCCGGCCAGGCAACCGGCCAGGCGGTGGAAGCAGGACAAGCAGGCGGACGACAGGTCTTGCCGGGCCGGTCGCCCTTTTCGCCGGAAAGCGAAGCGGCCTGGGTTAGACGACAGGTACAGCAGAGCTTCAGTACGGGATTGGATGGGCAAGAGAAGAGCAAGACCTGCAGCCAGAATGCGTTGAAGGGTGGTATAGATTGGGACACAAGATCCGCATGCCATCTACCACCGGAGTGTCTGCATGCCTCGGGACTAAAGGGTATAACATGTGGGAGGGCAGGCTGGGCAATGGGACAGCAAAATAGCGAAATAGCGAAATAGCGAAATAGCGAAATAACAAAATATGCAATCATTAATTCGTCGAGCAGATGATCGTCATAGGGTCAGGTAATCGCGGTTTCAATATGCCAATCAATGGACAAACCAATGATTTATTAAGTCGGCCACGCAACAAGCAGTCCAGCCAGTTGGCAACCCACTCAGCTAGCCAGACAGGCAGACGCACATCTATTGAGTCAATCAATCGTTCAGACAACAGACACAACCGTCCCGGTACGAGGCCTGGTTGAGCTACGAGTTTGTCCCGAGTCCTCGTGGCAAGAGCCCATACTTTGCTGGTCAGTTCCAAAGATCCTTCTGCAAAGCTTGCTATGAATAAAAGACGCCATGTCGAAGGAGGGTAAAAGCGAATGCACGAAAATATGTCAAGAACAGACATACATACATACATACATATACACACACACACACACATACACACAGAGAGAGATACAATCGTGTGACGCGGGAGTTTGGACGTAGGGATGAGGGTAGATCGGTGGCTTTGATAAAACGGGACAGAGGACAGCCCTCATGTGCGTCCACTTTCCCCAACAAGTCGGTTTTCGAGAGGGCTAGACGAACTCATGAACCAGCGGGACATTGGGAGTAATTATGGCCCTTTGTCGAGATCGAGTTGATGCAGGATTTTGTGCTCATTCAGGAGCGTTTAGGCGGGGCGATGCTGCCGGCCCAAGCAGAAGAGATGATCTGGACGCAAAATCGGCCGCAAAAGCCTGTGCAGCCAGAAATTTACATAAACCGAACATTAGTCCAATACAGGACGACATGACGAATTGTTCAGAATTCAACATCAACTCGGTGAGAGCATGTTTGGTAGAGTCGAGACAAAGAGCACTTAGTCATCCAAAACTTTCCAAGTCACCCTGGAAACACGACCATGTTGTGGAAAGCGAATTAAATCGACAGTTTTTTTTGTAAAAGAAGACATTATCTTGGTTTTCACGGCTAAGATTTTGTTAAAATTTGTCATTTAAATTAGCAGTTTGCAAGAATATTTGGTACTATCAGTTATGCGATTATCCACACCTTTTTTAAGCTTATTTCCACTTCGAGTGAAAGATTGTGGCAAAGCGATTTGAAGACGACAACGGATTTCTCCTTGCCAACTGAAGCCTGACTTTACTGAAACTTTCCGGTTGACCATGACCTCGAGGCAATTTTCTTCGCATCCAGTGAGAACTTTTTAAGCTTTCATATCTCATAAGAAAGACATAAGAGTAGGGTATCGGTTTCACTCCCATAGTCATATTTAGGAGCCAAGTTTTCTTGACCTCTCTGGTCGGCCACAGGGACCCTTCTGCAAGTTATGACATGGCTGAACTTCGTCTTGAATAGCCGCTGTGTATATGAAGGCTGAGAGATGATGTGTAACCGACTGTCGAGAACACACATGCAGACAATCGTGTGATGAACAATCAAATTTCTCGACTTTGTGGGAATGATATCCTGCATTGGTGATGTCTTTCATATGACGAGCGAAATATTAGCATGTTTTCACAAGAATAGAAGCGGATTGCCTCGGAGATAATGCCAACAAGAATGTTCTAGTAAGGCCAGTCGACAGCTGGCCAAGAGGAATCAGCCACCGTCTTCTGGTGAGATCAACTCTCGAAACTATTTTTCACTTGAAATGGAAGTGAGTCCAGCACGTATAAGCCAAGGGATTGCATGACATCCACATCGTGCCGCTTACAGAGAAAAATATCTTTTCAGGCAAATTGAAAATAAAATACTTTCCAGGAATAGGTATTTTTTTAGTCTGCTCGAACAGAGCTTGGATATCTTGCGCCATTTATGCTACAGGCTAGTGAAAAAATCTGTAAAGAAAGAAATTGGCACCCAACAACCAATAGAGTTTACGAAGTATTTGGAAAAGATTAATGATGGCAATAAAAGGAGTATCATGGAGGAATTTAGTAAAGAATTGTGCAAGAGGTGGCCAATTTGAATTTCCCTCCTCTTAATGGAGGCATTGCTTTCCATTCTACGTCAAAAGTTACCTCTTCACATTCTTGTACTACGGCAACTAGACTTTTAATTATGAAGGAGTTGTAAATTTGCTGGACTGGAAACAAAAACAGAAGTTCCTTAGAATGTGCGAAGAAGTGTCTGAGATGCAGATTTATCCTTTCCGAGTTTTCGTCTGTCCCGGTATGCTGGACCTCCTCAGAACCAGTAACCGACATTTAGGAAGAAGGCATACATTTTGTTCATGAGTAGACTTGAATGGGAAAGCTTCTATTAAAGCACAAACGCATTTGACTAAAAAGGATGGCCGGCTGCAATCACACTCATTTCTCGGGCCGAATGTTGCAACCCTAAT